GTGTTTCTGGGGACAGACTGGCTGAGGAATGTTGAGTTTTGGATGTCCATTGGCTGGACCAGGACAGGGCCTACATTTTCCAGGGTAAACTGCTCTGAGAACTGATTCATAATGAGAACTAATTCAGAATTTTATACGTTATTTTTATTTCTAATTTTCTATACTATTGATGTGGAAAACCATAATGAAAATCTCTGAGGCAGGGCTCATGAAGCAGCAGCAGGAATTTTGCTCATCCCTTTGGTAACTCCATGGAGGTTGGAGCTCCCTTGAATTCTTGCATCTATTTTTGACATGGAACCACTCAGCTGGTGAAGACATCAGCTGGCCACGCTCGTCCTGTGCTGTGGAAAACAAGGAAATGGCCTTTCCACGTGGGAAGAGGAGGAGAAAAGGCCCCACAAGTGACTGCAAGGGCACATGTGGCTGCAGGGGGTCTCCGAGGGGCAGTGATCAGCACTGACTCCATCACTCCAGAAGGCTGATCAATCCTGTATTATCCTGTGCTCATGGATAACCCTCGCCCTCACAGACAGTCTGACACAGGCAGACCCAGCTGGTGCTTCAATGCAAACTCCATCTCCAGTTTCAACCAAGAAACCACCCCTGGCTAAAGAAATCTCCAGAACGCGTTGCAGGTGTGCACAGCACCCGCTGCAGCCGGTGAAGGTAAGAATTGCTTCTCATTCTTTTCTCTGGTCTTCTCACAGCCTTCCCCAGCACCGTGCCCCGGAAAGTTGTGCCTGCTGCTCCCTGTGCAGAGAGCTGCTGCCACAGCTGCAAGAATTGTTTGGGCACTAAGAACACGTGAAATAAGTTGAATTTCATTTTAGGATTAAGCAGGAAAATCTAGGGAGTCTCTGACACAAATCTGAGACTGTGTGAGAGCTGCAGTTAATTGTAGTGTTTCAGGTGTGGGTTTTTTAACCATTTGGAATTTTTTTTCCCCAGAATTGGGATCTCTTCTGGAGAGCTGTGACTGGGGCTCACACACATCACTTTGAATTCGATACTTCAGAACTAGCTGGGGTTCCACAGCCAGCTCAGCTGAATGCCAGGAAATGTGGATTTCTGTCAGCCTTTCGTTCTCACAGGCCTTGTCTGCGTGCCTCCCCTCGCAGCTCATTCCCAGCGGAGCAAGCACGGAATCCTGAGGACAGGGAGTGCCCCGGCTGAGGGTGCAGCACGTGCAGCTGTTATTGCTCAGCCAGATGTTTCACCAGGGCTCCGTGGATTCCTCTGCAGCCCGTGGAAGGGCTCAGAGGTGGATATTGGCTCTGCTCAGGGACCCAGCCAGCTGAACGAGGCACAGGCCCGTGAGTAAAGGTCTCTTTTATGAACCAAGGCCATTAAAGCTTTGCCAAGGCCTTCCCTTGAGGCTGCCTAAATAAATTCCCTGGGACTGACAGCGCTTGCAGAGTGCCCTGTGAGTGAGAGGGACTTGGGGCTGCCCAGCTCCTTCCTTCTGGGTCTGCAGCTCCCAATTCACTCGGGCAACAAAGGTCATTTTTCAAATCCAAGGAAAACTTGTGGCAATTTTTCTTTTCTGGTGACTTTACAGGGACTAAACGTATTCTGGAAATCTCCAAATCTCCAAGTGGCCTTTAATGAACTAATCATGATAAAGTGACTGTGCCTGATGTTGGGGGGTTTTCCCAAAGTTCCTGGGCTTTGGGATGGAGCTTCCTGCAGCAGGAGGAGCACAGGGCTGTGGCAGGCAGCTTTGCTGGTGCTGCTGTGGCAGGGGAGAGGAGGGATCCTAGAATCACAGCACGGTTCTGGTTGGAAAGGACCTTAAAGCTCATCTTGGTGTGGGGTTACACCCCCTTTTTGAGGGGAAAAGAGCCAAAGAGCTCTCTGTGCTTCCTGCAGCCCCTGCACATATTCCACAAACCAAAACTGAACCCTTTGCTCCTGTGCCTGTAATTGCCCAGCACTCCCTGCAGCTGCAGGGGCTGTCTGCAGGACAGACACAGCCCTGGGCTCGGGGTCCTTTTTCTGGGGCTGTTTCCAGGCCTTGAGGTGCCAAAGCACAGCTCCCAGTGGGAGCCGACAGCGAGGGAGGGGACGGGACCCAAACTGGGGGACAGGATCCAAACTGGGGGGACAGGACCCAAACTGGGGGACAAGACCCAAACTGGGGTGACAGGACCCAAACTGGGGGACAAGACCCAAACTGGGGGACAGCGTGGCCCCTGCCCTGTGACTCAGGGTGTGCTGCCAAAGGGGACGTGGCTGGGCCACCGGTGCTCTGAGAAAAGCCCCCCTCATGCCCAGACCCGCAGGCAGGCTCCTCTCTTCGGGCACACAAGGGGTCCAGCCCACTGACACTGCCAGCACTGGCAAACCATGACCCCAGCTTTGCCAGCCTTTTCCTTGGTGTGCTGACACCAGCAATGACAGCCTGAACTGCAGAGGGGAACAGCTGGATGGAACAGCTGGATGGAACAGCTGGATGGAACAGCTGGAGCCTTCCTTACCCCCTGCCAGCCAGGGCTACCTGAGGGCCAGCAGAGCCCCATGAATATTCAGAGCACAGCTCTCAACCTCAGGCTCCTTCTTTATTTTGAGAGAGAAAACACCAGTATTTGCAGAGCCACTCTCCTAATATTTTGCCTGACCAGCCTAATTGTTTTTCTCCTGAGCCCTAATGGCTGTGCGCTGCAGGCAGAGCCCAGGCACTCCCCGTGCAGATATTCAAGCGTGTTTTGTTTAAATCCCCTGAGCAGGGCAGCCAGGCAGAGCCTGCAGGCTGGGCAGGGCTGGGCACGGCCAGGGCTCAGCTGAGCTGAGCAGAGCTGCTCGTGTGTCAACACTGTCCAAATGTGAACTCTGCCCAGAGGATGTGGAGGTGTTTCCTTGACATGTCAGCGTCCGGAGCAGGCGCTGCCAGACACAGCATCTCCCCACACCTCCTGAGGGCAGCCTGGGCTCCCAGGGAAGGGCAGGCAGCACAGCCCAGGGCCACGGGGATGTCACAGCACGGCCACAGGTGGCACAGGGCAGTGCCCAGGGGCTGGCCCTGCACCAGTCCGTCTCTGGAGCCACATGAAATACAGTTCCCATTGCTCCTGGTTTGCTCCAGGTGATGTTAGCATTTTTTGTAAAATTTTTTGAAATCAAGCAACGATCTACAAAACCGTCACTGTGGAGAGGGTGAATTTTGGTGATTTGGCTGAAGAAAGGGAGTTGAAAAGTAAACTCAAGCTCAAATTAGATTTATAGAAACATAACCTCACTTTTTACAGAAGGACACACAGCCACGGGGGCTTTCTTTAGCTCTGCCCTGAAGCAGCAGCTGCTGCAGGTCTCAGGAAGTTTCCACTGAAACACACCTGCCCTTCATGAATGCTTGCTTTTTCACCTCTACATTCTCCTCTCTGGGGCTTTTAAGCAAGTTTTATTGTAGTGTTTATACAGCCAACTCACTCTGCCCTTGGTTTATGTTTTTCTCGCCTGCAGCCACTGAATTTTGAGGTTTATTAGTTACAGGTATCTGAAATCACATTTTTAAACAATTGACTGCCTAATAAAGCCCCTTAAAAGTTTCTGTTCAAGGCAATTGTTCTCCACCCCAGGACCAGGTTCCTACTGAGTTAAACCCAGGATCAACAACTTCTTTATGGCTGTTTGTTACCACCAAGGTGAGTAACAAGAATCCCATCCCTGCCAGTAAATCAGGTCTGCATCAATTCATTGGAGAAGTATCCAGGCAAAGAGCTGCTTTTGGAAACAAACTGTAAAGGAGAAGGCTGATTGTTTTCTGGCCAGGAATGATGCAAACCAGAGCCCGAGCAGCAGCAGGGCAGGCCCCCACCCTGGGCTGTGCTCTCCCAGCCAAAGCCAGGCTCTGCAGGCAGTGAGAGCCCACTGCAGGTTCCCCTCACTCGAGGATGTTGTGCACGGATCCAGAAGCACAGGGGGTGCAGAGCTGGCTCCAGGCTGCCCTCCCCATCTGTGACCCCCAAATCCCTCCTCCTAGCCACTGACCCCCGAGGACAGGCTCCTTCCACACGGCCCCAGTGCCAAGAAAGAAAGAAATAAAGCTCAGTGTCCAGGTGTTTTCCATCGGCCAGAGAAAGCTGTTAAACACCTCCAGACCTCCCTCCCTTGTGCCTGGAGAGAGCCCTGTGGGGCAGGGCTGGGACTGAGCCTGCTGAGATGCCAGCCCTGCTCCTCTGGTGGCTTTGGGTGGCAGCTCTTTAACACTGAGTCACTGTCCTCCTGTCACTGGGACTGGGAGCTTCTCTTATTCACAGCAGCTGAGAAACTGAATTTCAGGTTTAATAGCTTGTTTTGGCCTGAGTGTTACAAATATTCACAGTGACTGGAGGGCTCTGCCCTCCCTCTCGGGGTGTGAGCTCGCTGCAGGCACTGCTCACTGCTCCGTGGTTCCCCCCAGCAGGTGAAGCTCCCTGAGCTCAGGTGCAGGGCACAGAAACCTCCCCGGCTGGGCCAGCCCTTCTCGGCCAGGTGGGGATGGCCCTGGGGTCAGGGGGATGGCCCTGGGGTCAGGGGGATGTGAGGATGGGCCAGGGGGATGTGGGGATGGGTCAGGGGGATGTGGGGATGGCCCTGGGGCCAGGGGGATGTGGGGATGGGTCAGGGGGATGTGGGGATGGCCCTGGTGCCAGGGGGATGTGGGGATGGGTCAGGGGGATGTGGGGATGGCCCTGGGGCCAGGGGGATGTGGGCAGGAGTGTGACCCACGTGCAGCCACTGCCCTGAGTGCTCCTCCCTGCTTCCATCTCCACATCACAGACACATGGGCCCTTTCTCTGCCTAGAACATTTCTTAAAAAAAGGGGGACCACAAATGAGACAGGACTGCAAATATTTGCAGATTCAGAGCAGTTAAGCTCTGAAAAACTTCAGCTTGCAAAACATTTGCTGAAATGTGGCTTCTGCCCAGGCAGTGGTTATTTCCCTGCAGGGAGGCTTTGCCCTCCCTCTCTCCCACCCCTGCTCCTGGCTGGGTTGGCAGTGGGGGAGCAGGTGAAGGATTTTTGTATCCAAAAGTACTTTATTTAAAGCTTTAGGAACATTTAAATGTACTGTCAGTCGTATTGAGAACTACACAGAATGCTCGAGTTGAAATTGGAGCTGGATGCTCACACAGGAGGCACAGATTCCCTGTGCTCGCTGCCCTGGCCATTCCAGGACATGAAGGGCTCTGTCCTTTGCAGCCCCACAAGTTAAAGTGCTGTCCTTGCTGGGGGAGGATCAGCTCATGCCTACTCTGAATTTCAGTTCCAGTATCAACACTAAAGTCTCCCATATGTTTCGAGCTGTTTGATGCATTAATTTCACGCTTTTGCTCCCGACACTGGAGAGCACAGGATTTTGTTAAGCTGTTTAATTGCAGTAAATTTCTTTAGCAGACATTATTTTACGAGCTGCAGAAATACCTGCAAGGCTTGAGCAGATGCCAGCAGTCGCAGTAAGTGTGTGCTGGAGCAGGGACTCGCACAAATCACAATTTACAGATCACAAAATCACAGCTGAGAACATGCTGCCCTGGGCTGCCTGCACCCCTGGTCCACAGTCCCTGTGCAGCTCTCTTGGAGCCCCTTTAGGCCTGCACGGCATCTACAAGGTCTCCCTGGAGTCTTTCCTTGTGCATAAAGTGAACTTGGCCCCTCTCCTGTCGGAGAGGGTGCCGGGGAGGGGGCAGCCCTGCCCTCACAGCCCCCAGAGCCCTGCTGTCCCGTGCTCTGCTCTGACATTGCCCAAGCACCACCTCTTCTCCACTGCCCCGCGCTGGGGCTCGGCTGCTCTCAGCCCTGCCTGGGGTGGAGGGCATCCCCTTTTCCCCCAGAGCTCCCCAGCCAGGGGGCAGGGGAGGTTTACCACAAAACCAGGGTTCTGCTGAAGTGCTCCTGTGCCCATGTGGATCCCCAAACGCAGCAGAAGTGGCACCAGGGGGGCTGGCAGAGAGCTCACCCCCCTGTGCCCCTCAGCCCCGGCTCTGCTCCCTCCCCGGCTCCTGCAGGACCCCAGTGTCCCCAGTGTCCCCCACAGGGGCTGTGGCAGGGCTGCTGGTGGCACAGCGGGCACCAGGAGTGGCTCTGTGCCACCCCAGCTGTGCAGGCCCACAGCTCACCTGCTCAGCCCTGAGCAGGTCCAGCCCCCCCAGCGCCCACCTCCGAGTTATCCCAACACAGGTGACTTATTCCAACACCCACCAAACCGGGCAGGCCTTGAGCAGAAACCAGAGGCTGCTGAGCAGAAGGAGCCCCAGCAGCTGGGAGCTCCCTGGACACTCACCTCGGCGAGAAAACATTCCAGGTCTCTGGCAAACCACGAGGAGACTCAGGATAACAGGGCAGACTGGGCACGGACACCTGCCAGCCTGGGCTGCCGAGGTTTCCAGGGAGTAGCAGAAGCATCACTTGGTGTAGGGAACAAATAACACCCACAGGGACTGGGTGCCAGACCCTGGGATAGCACCAGGCCTGCGAGGCCACGGCAGAGCTGTGGGACAGGGAGCAGGGCAGAGCCCAGGGCAAGGGACAGCTCCCTGGCACTTGGAAGGGTCACTGAAGTATTGCAGGGAACAAGTGACATTGCAGCTTCTCAGGGAAACACACACACACACACACACACACACACACACTCTGCCCCCAAAAAAGCTGATAAAGCTGTTTTCCACAAAATTCTTTACATTCCAGTTGCGGGTGGCAGCTCCAGGGGCTGAGTCAGCCACTGACCAGGCAGAGCCTGCCCTGCCCCTCTGAGCAGGGTGAACCCCTCGCCCTGTGTGCCCACTCCTTGGTTTTGCTTCTTGCACAGGACAAAGCCCCAGCTGCGTGTGGCTGCAATTTTGTACCATTTGCTTTCAGCAAGTTGATCAAATTCCTCAAACCCACTGCCTTGGCACAGTGGCAGCAGCCTGTTCGCCTAATTCCAGTAAGGATTTAAAAACCACAAACACCCCTTGTTTTTGACCACAACTGTAGGTTTAGTATGCCAGAAGTTACTGTTGAGATGTGTTATTTCCAAAAGACTATTGCAAGATCTTAGTCATAAGAGGGTTGGACAGACTTGACAAGAACCAGCAGAGCCCAGCCCCTCCTTTCCTTTCCAGCTGCTCCTGGCCAGGTACACGTGCCTCTCCCACCCGTGGGCACAAGGGCTCCCTGGCAGATCCAAGAGGACCCCAAGGAATCACTTTCCTCACGCTGTGCGGGATGCAGGGGCACATGGAGTTGCTTGCAAGTGAATAGTCAGACTCTTAAATTTTGTAACCTTCCCCTTCTCCTGTATTTCCAAATGCCCCCAGTCCTGGTGGGAGCTGGGGGAGCCCCTGCTCAGGCCCTGCTCTGGCTGCAGGTGGTGCACAGCAGGCTGGCGTTGGCCAGGGCGAAGGGTTTGCCCGTCAGCAGCGTCTCACACTCCAGGCAGGCAAAGTGCTTGTTGTGCCAGGCCAGCCCTTCCACCTGCTGGTAGTCCTCCGAGAAGATGATCTATGGGGCAGACAGACAGACAGACAGACAGACAACTGCTTATTTCCACCACCCCACCAAGCTGGAGCGTGGCAGGAACAGGGAGATCCACCCCACACCTCCCACCAAGCCCATCAGCCGTGGGGGTGAGGAATGGGCACATAGAATTATCCCAGGATGGTGTGGGTTGGAAAGGACCTGTAAAGCTCACCTTGTCCCACCCCCTGCCCGGGGCAAGGACACCTTCCTCTAGCCCGGGCTGCTCAGAAGCCCTGACTGAGCCTGGCACTGGCAGGAGCAGAGGGCCACTGGTGGCTCCCACCCAGCACAGGGGGGATCAGAGGGGCTGCAGCTGGTCCCCACCCTGGCACAGGGGGTCACAGGGACTCTGGTCACTGCCCAGTGTGGCACAGGGGATCCCAGGGTCACTGCCCAGCCTGGCACAGGGGATCCCAGGGTCACTGCCCAGTGTGGCACAGAGGATCCCAGGGTCACTGCCCAGCGTGGCACAGGGGATCCCCGGTCCCTACCTCGTCGCAGCCGGCGCAGCGGGGCCGCAGGCTCTCGCAGTAGTGGCGCCCGCACCAGGCAGCCCCGCTCTTCCAGAAGTAGATGAGGTCGACGAGGGGCTCGCGGCAGCGGCAGCACACGAAGCAGGCCGGGTGCCACTGGCGGCAGTAGCCGGCGCGCTCGGCGTACACCACGGGGCAGTCCCCGGGCACCGGCTGCTGGCACGCCTCGCAGCGCTGCGCGAGAGGGGCAGCGTCAGCGGCACGGCACGGGCAACACTGCTGGGGAGCTCATTCCTGAGGGGCCTTTGGGACCCCTCCCAAACTAACACCTTCCCCAAAATCCAAAGGTTCTCAAAGAAGAAGCTAAGAATTCCTATAGTGCTGCACATCAAAGATGTCAATTTGAAATAGATCAGGAACTTTGGTCTTTTGTCGTTATTTTCTGTCTGTGCCCAACTCAGCTGTCACTCCACAGATCTCAGCAAGTGTTTTCTCTTTCTAACAGGCCACAGAGCCAGAATTAGACATGATTAATCTCAAGATTAATGGCGTCCGTGCACATTACACACCAGACCAGCTAGGTCTGCTCTTTATCTGTGCCTGCAGAGCAATCCTGTGATTAGTGCAGAGGCAGCCTTCAAGCTCCACTCAGAGGCTGGCAGGATGCTGCAGGGATCAGCCTGTGTGTCACAGGGCTGTGGTTACACTGCTGTGCCCCATCAGAGCACTGGCACAGCAGTGTCGCCCTCCGGGTGGCACAGGGTCAGGGACTGGGATCAGATGACAACTTACAAACACCCCAATTTAAGTCAACAGCTTTGAACAGGTATAACAATAGAACCATAGAGTGGTTTGGGTTGGAAGGCACCTTGAGGATCACCCAGTTCTGACCCCCTGCCATGGGCACAGACACCTTCCACTGGCCCAAGCTGCTCAAGAGGAGAGAAGACACAGACCCAGGATTTCTCAGGAACAATAAACTAACAGTGCCTGGGCTTCAGGAGGCCATTGGGGATGGGGCAGGGATAGAAAAGGGACAATTCCCAGCACTGCCAGCCCCTTGCCCCGGCTCACACGGGAGTGCTGGCACACTGCTCCTTGCCCTGCTCCCTCCTGTCACACAGAGGCCGTGGGACCTCTGCTCCCACAGGTGGCTCTCCCTGCTGGCTCACTGATCTTCTGCACCCCAGGCGTTTTCCCCTCGCCTCCTGCCTGCCTCAGGGGGTTCTCAGCGCCTGCCCCGTGCCCCTGGTGTGTTGTGCCAGGCTGATGGGCACTGCCCGTGCTCCCAGGGAAGCCAGGCTGAGCAGCAGAGGCTGCAGCACACAGAATGTTTCCTGGGTGGCTGCTCTGTGCAGCTGCAGGGGGGTGTGTGTGCTGACGCTGCTCCTTCCACCATGGAGGGCTTCACACACGTTTCCAGCCCCACGTCAGTGGTGGGGAAGCTCGGCACGGAGCACGACTGTGGCGTGTCTGGTCTGGCTGAAGGGACACAGCACGGAGCAGCTGGCAGAGCCCCCGAGGGCAGCAGGGACACAGGGCACCCAGCACACCAAACCCAGGCTTTTCCCTACGCCCCCAGCACCTCCCTGAGGCACCAGAGCTGGGGTGTGCCCCATAGCCAGACCCTGCAGCTGCCTCTGCTCTGCCAGCCCCAGAAGACACAGCCCCAGCAGCCCAGCCCTGCTTATCTTGCAGGATCTAAAGCAAGAACAAACACAGCAGTTTCCAACCCAGAGCTCAAGTTTCTTGCCAGCAAGAACTGTTGAAAAAACAACTTATTTTGCTCTTTCTTTCTATGGAAATTATTCACAGGGAAAATCTATTCACAGGGCTTTTCCCAAGCATTGTATAACCTCTACATCCTGCTATTTACACACTACAAAAAGGTGAGACTTCAAATTTGAGGTGGGATTACAGCTTGGTGCTCCCTTTACATCTCCATCATGCAGGAAGAGGAGTGAATACTTCATTAGCTGAATTATCAGAGGTGTTGGCCAAAAAAGTATCCTGTTCTCTTAAGCTTTCCCATCCTGCTCATCCCCAGCTCCTGCTCTGCAGTGCCAGCTCCCAGGGAAGGAGCTCCCAGACACCACCAGCACTCTGAGCACTCCCTGCATTGCTGGCCTCAAGCTTTTGGGAACAACGATTAATTTGGATCAATTGCCTCAGGATCTGATTTGATTCCAGGGCAGGAATCAAACCTTGTAAGACCAGAGGAGTTCCCAGTTGTGGAGGGGTCAGGATCCTGTGCTCTGTGGAGAACACTCCTCGTGGGACAGACTTGCAGCAGGGATGTGGAGGCAGATGAGGTCTGTGGCCCCAGTCCTGCCGGGGTCTGCCATGGCCTGGGCTGCACAGCGTGGCTGTCCCAGTGGACCTGCCACTGCTGTGAAAGCTGTTCCATTTTTCAGCTGGTGCCTTGAGAGAAATGATGCTTCAAACTAAGGAGAATAACATCACAGTTATGTATTTATTTATTTGAAAGGACAAACTCGCAGTTTAAGTAAACCCTCTTTGCCAGGATGACTTATTGATATGTTTAAAGGAAGTCTTCCTTTTTTGGCTATTTTTTATCTTAAAATGCAGTGTTTTGTTGCAATAGTGAAAATCCTTACTGTGCCACTGGATTCAAAGTCAGAAGTACGTTAACAGACCATGGCAGAGGGGAGACATTACCCAATATGGACTGAAAATGAAAACTGCTCTTTCATGTACAACCTCAGTGCAGGAATGGCAGGAAAGAATCTGCTCTTAAAAACACTTGGACACCATTTGCTTTTTCAGCTTTAAATCCTCTGCTGCAAGTCACCCTCACAAGGACCAGGACAAGGTATTTCCACTCACCATATTTTATGATAAGCATCTGTTCAGCAGCCACTACAGACAGCACTGGGGGAATATAAATCTAAAAGGGTGTTGAGGAATCTCAGCCATTTCTCTGTGGAAGTGTACTTGTATGCCCAGGGACCCAGGGCAGCAGTTTCCATTTCCCAGAGCAATTACAGCCCTGGGAACACTATCTCCATGTCCACAGCTCTGTGCTAACTGGACAGAGCCTTCACCTCCTGACATCTGTGGTCTCTCTGGGTAAGAAGCCTACTTGGAAATATTGACTTGCATCACAGAATGGTGAAGGCTGGAAAAGACCTCCAAGATCACCAAGTTCAGCTTTCAACTGAAACACTGCCTATATCATCCAGGGACATGTCATGCCCAACCTTTCAGAGCTGCCAAGAACTCAGAGCTCAAACCAGTTCCCACAGTGAGATTTCCCTGACCTTGGTGGCTGAGCAAGGCCCTTGCTGCAGAGAAAGGGAGATGAAGAAGAGGAGAACACCCCTCATCAGCCCTGCCAGATGGGCCCTTGTGCTCTGCAGGGCTGACTGGAGCAGAGGGGCCCTCCAGGCTCCCACAGTGCTGCTCCAAAGCATCGTGATGTGACCTGCAGCAGCCATGGAGAATGCCCTGGGAGCAGGATGGGGACGAGGCACAGATCGCCCTGCCTGCTGTGATTTTTTGCCCCTTGAGTTGAGACCAAATCTATTCCCAGTGGTTCCCTGAGCCTGGAGCAGCCCCAGTGCTCCCATCCCACTGCATGCCATCCCATCGCTCCTATCCCATCCCACTGCATGCCATGCCATGCCATCCCATTATCCCACCCCATCACCCCATCCCATCCCATCACCCCATCCCACCCCATCATCCCATCCCACCCCATTATCCCATCCCACCCCATTATCCCATCCCACTGCACCCATCCCATCCCATCATCCCATCCCTCACTCACGTAGTGCCCGGCCGTGCTCTCCAGGGCCCCGTTGGGTGACTCGGGGGCTCTGCCGGGGTCGATGCTCTTCTCCTGGGGCTTCTCCTCCTCCTTCCCGCCGCCGCCCTGGCCCGGCAGCGCCACCTCCCCAACGCCCAGGGCCTCGGCCTTGTACCTCTTGACGAACTCGTGCATGAGCTGCTGCTCGCCCTCGGCGAGGCCGCGGCACTGCGCCGGGTCCTGGTCGTGCAGCGGGAGCTGCCGCGCCAGCCGCCGCCGCCGCTGCAAGGCGCCGTCCGTGCCCGCCACCGGCTGCAGCTCCTTGGGGACCAGCTCCATGTACTGCATGGCCTGCAGGGACACGCGAGCTGCTGCGGCAGGGAGGCACGGGGGCCGTGCTCCCCTTGTGCGCGGAGCAGCAGCAGAATCGCGCCCGTCCCCTCCCTTCTCCCTCCGAAGAGTTTGCACCCACAGCGCAGAAGTAAAAGCTGAACTGGCTTAGATGCCAGTGGTAGCCAGGCTGTTATAAATCCTTTCATCCTCAGAAGCCAGACTGGGTGTTTTTATGGTGTGTTAGATTACTTTTTGTTTGTTTGTTTAAAAACAAACCCCATTTTGCCCAGGAAAGCAAAGCAGCACAGACAGACCTGCTTTGCACAAAAATCCCAGCACAGCCTCCCTCGCTGGCACTCCCGTGACACTTTTCCATGAAATTTGATAACAGAGCTGCTGAAAGGACTAAAAACCCATAAACATCAAAACCCATGAGCAGCTCTCTATTGCCTTGTGCTGGGGCAGGGAGAGCTGCAGGGAGTGAGTGCCAGGCCACACTGAGCACCCAGAGCCCACGGAGCTGTGTGCACACAGCTCACAGCGAGAGACCATCCTTTATCAACTAATGAAATCATCATAACACAGGAAAAATTCAGGTAGCAGTTGAGTCTGTGACACTGACCAGTGTCACAAGGTGTTTGGTCACTGATGTGACACAGAAAGGAAATGCCCAGAAACTGCCCAAATGAAGGCTCTGACTTAACTGGCCATGACCCCAGCAGCAGAGTAAGGCTCAGGCTGGGTGAGTGCTTGTGGGCCACGGGGGCTGCACAGTTAACTTCTCCTGGCCTGAGGAAGGGAAGGGAGTTTCCCACTCCGGCATTTTCCTATTGTAGTGTGAGGAGTGACAGGGCAGCCAGTTGGCTCCCTGCCATTCCCTGTTAGACCAGCATCCAGCTGCATTAGATTTGCTTCTTACTGGGTCAGCACTTGAGAACTCAATCTGAAAAAACTTAGCAAAGAGATTTAACTGTTTGTGGCACACAGGCTGGTTCAGGCTGGGCTTTTCAACACAGAAATGTTTGCACAGCACTGAACTCTTCAGCATGTCAGGAAAAACTTCCAAGTCCCTTGCACCTTGGCTCCTCTGAGGCAGAGAGCAGTGCTGCCAGGAGGAATTCCTGACAGGAAATGGGGAACAGCAGCAGATAATGATTTTATGGAAGCAGGGCTTCTTCCCCGCTCTTGGGGTGCAAGTTAAAATCAGTGCACACTGGGATATCAGACAGCAACACTTGTTCCATTGTGCCCCTGTGCAAAGGCAGGGCTGATGTCCAGTTTCTGGGAAGGCTGCTGGCCTGTGGTGCTTGGTTGGAGAGCTGTGGGATGCTGGGCAGTGACCTGGTGCACAAATGGCTTTCACAGACGAGAGGAATCCTAAGAGGAATGACAGGAGAGACAAGGATTCCCTGACTGCTCCTCCCAGGCTCACACAGGCACTGCCCCACAAGTGGACAGGAAACAACTGAAGTGATGCTGTGAGAGCAGGACCAGCAGGACAGCACGAGCTCCAGCAGAGCAGCAGCAGGGTGGGATCTCAGGGGGAGAAACCTCCATCCACTGACCTGCCAAGACCAATGAACATTTGCACCAGAGCAAGGGGCCAGCACGGGCACCTGGAGCCTCCTACCCTGCTCCACCTCCAGGATCTCCATTCCCAACAAAATGTCTGTGCTGAGAGTGAGGAAATCAAAGCCTCAAGGCTTTTTTTAAGGCTTACTTAAAGCCTGCTCAGGGGCAGGTTTCAGTATCTGCCCAGACAGGCAGTGAGATTTCACTCCCTGACCAAGGGAATGCTTGAAGTAATAATTGCAGATGTCAATAAAAATGTGTCCAAAGATTAGGGGGACAAAAAAAAATCCAACCTGACACCAAAAACTGCCATGAAGAATAAGAAAAAGTTGCTACATCTGCTGCTATCACTTATTGTTATGGCCAACACTTCACTGTGTTGCCTGAGTGCAGGTAATTTGGAGGAAGAGCATTTTAGTTTTCACTGCTCACTACTGGATCTTGGGGCTATTTTATGATCTGTTCTTTTCACTGTCTCCAAGGACCTAAGTATCTGCTTCATGACTTCTGCAGGCACAGCTTAACAAGAACGTGCTCTGAACTTCCTCCTATTATTGACCGTCCACTTCAGCAAAACAAGGTTAAAAGCCATCCCAAGTTTCCAGCCTGCCTTCAGGAGGAAACCCCTGGAGCGAGGCAGTTGTGCACTAACAGCTTTTTGGCCCAAGTCCCTTTGAAACCATCCTGACAGTGGCTGACATCCAACACTTCTCCTCAAAGTTTGTCAGGCTGATCTGCAAGCCAGGATTTATCAAGGTTGTCTCCAAAGCTCCTGCTTGTTGTTTACTTGAACCAAGACATATTCCAGCCTGTCCAGCACTATAAAGAGATCAAAAACTTTCATAAAGTTTTTGAACCTCCCCCATCAGGAGGGTGGGACTGGGCTGGGGGGAAGGAAGGGAAGGGAAGGGAAGGGCTCGATGAAGCATCCCCAGCACACAGCTCAGCCCCACCCAGCCTGTCCAAGGCACTCAGGACAGCTGGCTTTTAAACCAAATTAACACTCTGGTTCTGGGGGCTGTGGCTGCACTTTCACACCTGTATCACAAATTCTTCTTTAAAAAGGTCTCTGGTTGCATTTTCACCAGCATTTTTGTTGATTGGCATCAATAGCTTGCAGCTATTTGTTTCATTTGAGGAGCAGAGGCTCTTCACTGCCCACTCCTGACAGTGGCATACAGAAGGGTTTTACACCACAGCACAGTGAAAAGCCAGCTAAATGCTTTCCCGCAAGAAGAGCTCGGCTGGCTCACACTCCCACATGCCAAAAACCACTTCCACCCCTTCCCACACAACTGTCCAGATGGAAACCAGGCATGGGAGGGAGGTGGAGCTGGGCTGGTTTTGGATCCAGCCCTCAGAAGGGGACCATGCTCCCTATCTTGCCTTTTTACCCTGAGCTCTCTTTATAACGCTGTTTTTATTTGGAGCAGATTATGCTTAAACTGTAAGGAAGGAATTCCCAGCTCCAGAGCTCGAGATGAGAGTGGTTCTGCCAGCAGCAGCAGTGGCAGAGCTGCTGCCCACGCAGACAGGAGCTGCAGGCAGGAGCTCTCAGACCCCGAGCTCAGCTCTCGCCAGGCTCCCACCCCGGCACGAGGAGCCCTCCCACTCCTGCTCCTGGGGGCAGGAAGCTCCTCAAGGCTGCTGGAACAGGGATGGGCTGCTGTTCATCACCAAAGGGACTGTGAGGGACCCCGGCAATGGGGCCTCTGAGCCCACTCTCCAAGCAAGGACTCCTCCAGCAGCACAGGATGCTCTCTGAGAGCAGGAGAGGAGGAGCCAGCCCTGAGGCACAAACACCCAGCTGCCCACCAGCACCATGTGCTCCCCAGAAGCCAAACCCCTTCCTGCTCCTCTACTTGCCCAGCCCAGACACCCCCAGAAGGCCTGGAGGAGTCATTCCTACATCCAGCCTGGGGCTTTGGAGCAGGCATGGGCTGCACAGGGCTGCAGGGCAGCAGGGGTGGGATCTCTCCTCAGCCATGCTTTTACTGCAGATGGGCTTTACCAAAAGACAAAGAGCTTTCTAGCTGTAAAATCCATTAAGACTTCTCCTAGAAATGTAAACAAACCTATAAAACCCAAAGGCATTCCATCCCCCTCTCCTACCTACTCTGCTTATTTACAGTTTTCCAAAACACGGAGTGCTCTGCACCCTTCTGCTCCCTGAGGCAAACCACGCTTTCCCATTTCTCCCCGATAACCTGACTCCAGAGCAGAGCTCTGTTCCCAGCCCGCCCTGGATCCCCTTACCAGCTTCTGGGTGAGCCCGGGGGGAGCCCACTCGTAGGTGATGGTGTCGAAGGTGGGGTCCTTGCCCGAGATGTTGGGGTTGGTGACGATCATGCGGTTCCTCTTGTAGATGCGGGCGCCGTCGCCGCCCTTGAGCCGCGCCGTGAGCGTGGCGTACTTGGAGCCCGCGAGCAGGCGCCCGATCTTGCAGTCATCGTCCAGCTCCGAGCTCAGGCCGTGCTCCTCCTGGCTGCACTTGCACGACTTGCAGATCTTCCTGTGCCCAAGAGAGCACCCAGGGTGTGAGCTGGGCCGTGGGGTGCCAGCCTCTCGCGAGGGGCACACACAGCCTGGCCTTATGGCACGGGAAAAAGGCTCAGGATGGAATGGGTTGGGTTGAGAGGACCTCAAATCCCACCCAGTGCCCCCCCTGCCATGGCAGGGACACCTCCCACTGCCCCAGGCTGCTCCAGCCCCAGTGTCCAGCCTGGCCTTGGGCACTGCCAGGGATCCAGGGGCAGCCACAGCTGCTCTGGGCACCTGTGCCAGGGCCTGCCCACCCTCCAGGGAACAATTCCTGCCCAGTATCCCATCCATCCCTGCCCTCTGGCAGTGGGAGCCATTCCCTGAGTCCTGGCACTGCAAAATCTGCTGCCTCCCACCCACGGGGAGCTGCTGAACTCTGGAAACCCCTTCAAGCATCATGAGCTTGGAGATTAGTCTCCTCACCAGATTCCAACAGACCTTGCCTATTATGAATCTTTACATGCCATTAAAAAAGGGACTGCTGGAAGGAACTGATGTTTAATTGACTGTAATTTGAATGATAATAGGTATAAATCACACAGACAAGTGTCTAAGGACACTCTGGTGGCCAGCACTGCCATCAAACACTAATAGCAGAAAGGGCAAAGTAACTCTGACACAACCCCGAGGATTTCAGCAGGATCTTGGAGTAAGAATGAGTCCAACCAGCCTTTAATGGAGTCAATAAAAAAATGGTTGTGCTTCCACCAAATGAGTGCTTTAAAGTTTGGATTTCACACAGCTGAGGTATGACAAGTGGAGCTGAAGGCATCCAAGGCATTCCAGCTGCAGCAGCACAGCTGGACCACAGCCTCCCTGCCCCACCACCATGGGCCCAGCACCCTGGGGAGCTCCCCAGGAGCACAGAGGAGCCCAGTGTTTGTGAGGCAGCTCAGAGGGCACGAATTCTCTTTTAATTAGTAACATCTGGATGTCTGCATTCCATTTGACAGCCCCTTTTTGTCCTGCTGGGGCAGGGAGCAGCCCCTGCCCTGAGCTGGGCACTGTCCTGGTGTGCTCCCACCAGCTGCTGGTATCAGGGGCTATTTACCCAAATCTGTGCTTTTCAGAGGAAAAACTGGAAGTGAAGCATCAGTAAGGAGATGTTGTGTCCCCAGGCACATTTCAGGATGCAGGGCAGGCCCAGCGTTAGTTACCTCCAGGAGTGTGGCTCGAAGCCCGCGCACAGCCCTCTGCAGCGCAAACACGGCACGCCTCTTCCCCCCTGCGGCTGGCTCCCCGACATCTGCAAGAGAGCAGGACACTGACATGGAAAGGCTTCGTCCTCAGGGGCTCCCTGGGACAGCACTGAGAGTGCACACTGCCCTTCAGACAGTGATTCCTTCAGCCATCCCTTGTGTCCCCTGAAACCTCAAATCTCCCAACTCCATTGAGCATGTCCACACAACCCTGCTGCGTTTATCTAAGGATGCTTGGGGTGAAGGTTTTCCCTTCAAAGTGAGGGAGGATGGAGGGGCTGGCACATCAAACCCAGGGAACATGCCCACACACTGGGCAGCCACCTTCACCTCCTCCACAGAGACCTCAGGTCTCATTTTATCCAGTTTACAGAGTTCATGTACTGCACATGGACCTGTGCAAGTCAGAAGGTCAGGCAGGACACATGGAGGCACACTGCTATAACCTGATGCTGAACTTGCTTTACTGCACCTTGGACCTCCTTGGTCTTTCTCCAAGTGTATTTTGGGAATGTGGTAGGTTTCTATGCCTCTGGCTCTGGACTTTTCGGGTGGTTTCCAAAGTGAACAGGAAATCCAGTGGGGAAATGCTCTGGGGAGGAGAGGGGGTGGTGGAGTGACATGGGGGCTGTGGTTCTGCTGCACTTTTTGCTGCTCACTGAAAACAGATGAAAGTCACTCATCCTTGGGTGTTCGCTGCTGCAGAGACATCCTAACAACCTCCCAACAGGACAAAGGCAAGCAAAAACCCACACAGGAGCCCATAACATTGGAAAACAAACCTATTTCCTGCCTGCCCCATGAATTTGTCAAACGTGGCTCTTTGAGCGTGAGGAACGCAGCAGGGTACGGCGGGAGACAAAAACAAAGTGCTCCATGAGGCACCGGGGCAAGGTGACACCAGCAGACGCTGAATTTATCTCAGGCTGGATGTTTACACAGGAGCTGTCAGGCTCCTGCCTGAAAGACATGCTTGTTCCCTGGAAAAATGAGCTGAGGGGAAACAAGGACAGCGCCAAGCCCAGCAGGAGCAATGGCAGCGCCGCGGGAGCGTCACCCCAGCTCAGCAGCTCCGAGCCCCTGCAGCCAGAGATCAGAGCACACGGCCTCCCCTCCAGCACACCCCGACACCTCCAGCCCTCAGCAGGCACGGCCAGGTTCAGGGCTGGGCAGTTCCTGACCACGCTGGCCATCACAGACTGCACTTCCCACCGGGGCTTGTGGCACGCACAGGTCTCACAACTCCCAGCCCTTCTGGGGCCATTGATCGGGGTTTGTAAAAGGTCTTTAATCTCCCTCGAGGCGGGAGCTTGTTCTAGGAACTGACTCTTCAGCTGTGCACACACACTGAGAGCCGGTCTGACTCACAGAACATTGCCTTGGGAGGGACCCACAGGATCCTCCTCCAGCTGCCTGGCCCAGGAGAGGCTCAGGGCTCAGCCTGGCAGAGCAGGGTGAGGCTGTGCAGGTGCCCAGTGCTGGTACGTGCCCACGGCTCCAGTCCCTGCACTGCCACAGTCCTGCAGTGCAAGATCATGCCCTATTTAAAGCACCCTTTGGCACCTTGCAAGAGGCTGTCCTTGCCAAAACCTATTTTCAAAGGGAGGGACCAAGAGCGGTGAAGGAGCTGAGGCAGAAGGAGCAGATGCTGCTGCCCAGCAGGGACCCATGGGGCCCTTGGGCTGACCCAGGCTGTGCCAGGTCAGGCTCTGCATCTCTGCTCAGAGGCAAACCAGGGATGATGCTGCAGCCCTGCTTCCTCCTGCTGCCTCCCACATCCACCTGTCCCACCTCCAGCAGCAGGCTCCCAAAGCCTGCAGGGCCTGGGGCACCCTGAGCTCTCCTCTCATGTTCAAACTCATGCTGCAGCTTTCAGGAGGAAAAGGTTATTTGATGGCACTCAGGAAAGATATTTCACTTGCTTGGAAAATACAATGTTGCTAATAAATACAAAGTTTTTATAAACAGATGTTCTAGAAATGACCAGATGTTTGTCTGCCAGTTTTAAGGTAGATGACAGGCCTTTACATGCCATTTTTTCTTGCCCAGAACTAGTAAGTCTCCACACAAGGCTGCTCATCCTGGAGAAACCCAGCCCAGGCTGTAGGAAGTGGTCTGTTTCAGCTCCCTTTGCCCCAGGACTGCTGTTTTATTTCTGCCTCACCTTTCACCTGGAATTTTCATCTCAATTTTCACCTGCAGTTTGTCCAATATTTTGAAGCCAATGAAAAGACCTCTCACCCCCAGAGTTCATCAAAATACATCTCAAAATTTGCCTTAACACGCCCAGATAGTCCCCTCTGCCTCTAATGCACAAACAGAGGATGTTTTTGATTCTTTAGCCATGTGCCAGCTGTCCAGGACAGATAAAGACACTGAGGATTCCACCAGGCCACTCACAGCCCTGCCAGTTCTGGAGCCATGTGCCAGGTACCACGAACTGCTGGGGTTTAGCTGGCTCAGATCTTAGTGAGTCAAACGGGAGCTGAGTGTCAGCAAGGGACTGCAAGTGGTGGTTTATCTAAAACACAAACATCTGGATTAAATAAACTCGTTTGGAAAAGGCTCATTCACTCAAGGGGAAAGGCACAGGGAGAAGTGTGGTCAGCAGCACGAGGAGCACAGGAAGCTCCCCACACCAGCTGGCACTGGGAGCCCAGGGCAGTGCCAGGGCAGGAGCTCAGCCCCAGAGGGTGCCCAGCACGCTCAGACCCTCGGGCCAGCACCTCCTCGAGGCTCTGAAAGGCCTGGCAGGCTCTGTCTGGAGGACAGTGTTACTCCTCACTCCTCCAGAAGCAGAGTTGAGCCACTGTCACTCCCATCCCTGTGCAGGAAGAGGAGCCAGTGCCCGGTCACTGCACGTCCTGCCCAGGCACAGAGCTTCTCCTCACGCTCTGCTACAGCTCCTCACATCGGCATAAAAGGAGATTTCTTTGCAAAAATTATGCAAGACACTGCAAAAACCCCAAACCCGGTGAGATAATGTGAAACAAATGCTCTGACTATCCCAGCCTCCACCTATGCCCAAGCCCATCCGAGAAGTGCAGGAGAACTTTGGCATCACCTTAAGATAAAGGGTTTGGAGACATTTGTAATGCTTTAAAAAAGTGCCAAAACCCCAAAACCAGGCCTGCGTCAACAAACTGGTTGGAGAAAAGCAAATCCTGCTCACCAGGACCAGATAGACGCTCCTTGCAAGATTTCTGTTTTGGCTCTCTGTGCCTCACAGCATTCTTGCTGCTAGAAGACAGAAAGCAAGTCAGGGCAGAGGAAATTCTTGGGTAGTGAAATGATAGGAAATCGAGGCTGTTCTACCCACAAAAACGTTGCTGAGCAGTGTCAGGAGCACACCAGTAATGCCATGGGCTGCTGTTACACCGGCCAAAGGCAGGGCCATCGCTCGCTGAGCAGCTGGAAAATGGAGAGCCTGGAGTGACAGGTGACAAGGAAAGAACCCAAACACGGCTCCAGCTCGGTTCAGAGCTTCTCTGGGAAGGAGCACTGAGCTTCCCTGGCAGGTCTGGTGAGATGGAGTCCTGGCCAGGAGCTCTGAGCAGGTCAGGCTCCAGCTCCACAGCCTGCTCTGTTTGCTGCTCAGCTGAGACTCCACAGGGGTCTTTGTCCTGTCACCTTCTGGCCAGCCCAGCACACCTTGGCCAAGGACCCTTTGCCAAAGGCTCTACTGAAACCAGTTTGGCAGCTGGGTTTGCTGCCAGGGACTGTCCTCAGGGGCAGCAGATCCTGTAGAACTGGGGCCTGAAATCACGTTCAGAGTTTCAGTAAGCTTGGCCAGCATGGTGGTTAACCCAGGACCATGGAGGACCCAGCACACCCCCAGCACACCCGTCCCCCCGGGCAGCAGGGGACAGGCAGGACTCAGCTCTCTCTGAGTGCTGTGCTCGGTGCCAGCAGAGCACGAGTGTCAGGGGCAGATCCACGGGCAGGGTGAAGGGTGTCCCGTGGCAGTCATCCCTCCTGGCATTGCTGCCTGCTCTCCAGCCCCCAAAAGGGCTCTGGGGACACAGTGCCACAGCCACAGGCCCAGGAGGAACTGGTAAAGGGGGCTCTCCTGCTTCCACAGAGGCTTCTGGATCCCAAAAGCATTTATTGCACAACACCCTATTTGGAGACTGAAAACGGTGCTGGAGACACGTAACTACCTCAAGTATGTTTTCCCCTCCTTTTTAGGGAGGGAAGAGGAAAAGCTGGTTTCCAAAAAGTTACTCCAAGTTCACAACAGCCCTTCAGAGCTGAGGTCCTTGTTTCACCTCTCCCCAGTGGCCACAACAGGCTCCATCCAAACCCTTCCCTGCAGCATCAGCCACCCTACCCTCAATCCCGGCCGTGGCAGGACAGAGCTCCAGGGAGGCTGAGGAACTCCAGAACCCTTTGGGGGCTTCCTCCAGCTGCAATGAGTTTTGAAGATTTACAGCTAACTCTGAACTAGACCCGTGAACAAAGGAATGGGGAAAAGCCACACAATATTCACATGGGTGGGACCAGTCTGCTCAGCACAATTGCTGTGGGATAGGGATGGATAGATCATTTGTTGTCAATATTTGACTATAATAGAGCTAAGCTTGCATAATAACAGTGGGCTAGCTCAGACTTCCTTAAGGACCTGGGGCTAGCTCAAACTTCCTTAAGGACTTGGGGCTAGCTCAAACTTCTGATGGATTTCCAGTAACTGGAGGGTGCAAGGGTTTACATCCAAGGGGAATGCTGCATGCTGCAGTTCACATGTTGGCCATTTGGCTAAATTCTTCCTTTTGTGCTGATGACCAGCAAACAGAAGGGTTTGGGTTGCAAGGGACCTTAAAGTTCAGCATCCTCCTTGACTGCACCTAACGAGTGCTGAGGTCCAGCTCAGGAACCGACTCCCAGTCCTGGCACAGAGCAGCCCAAAACATCCCTGAACCTCCTGGGAGGCAGCTCAGGTGACACTTGGGGCTGTTCTGGATTTCAGGAGAGACTCCTTGACAGCAACTGCAAGGGGCATAAGTCTGAGCAAGGCAAGCAGCTGCCCTCAGAAGCGCATTAACCAATA